ACTCTGAAAGAATGTCAAGAGTGTTTGGGACCTATGATCGAACGTAAGGGATGTTTATGACAGAGCCGAACGCGATAAACGAGTGGAAGTTTATGAATGCGTCATGCATTTGTAGGAGCTAGCCCACTGAGATCACGTGGAAAATGAGTGATCAAGAAAGAAAGCCGGAATGTGAAAGAGGACAGAATGAAAGGTTTAAATGAGGATGCAAGGACGCGGGTGAGACAGTCCATCAGTTGCAGTCTATCAAATTCAGTCTGTCAGTTACAGTTTATGGAAGTTGGAAGGGTCAGTTTTAACCCCTTGGCCTACGCGCCATCTCTCAATTACGCGGGCTATACTAAACAAGAAGGTCGAGTCATGTATACTTCTTGTGACATGTATATATCGGTGCAACGAAGTACCACAACTTCGACTCCTGCGTATTGCTAATAGCGCAAATTCCTCACCACGAGTCAGACTCGTGATTTTCACTTATGGCACAAATTCCTTACCACGAGTCTCACTCGTGGTTGTAGGCCAAAGGGTTAAGAGAGATCAGAAGAGTGTGTCCATATCGAATCTCTCTTATTTCATGTTTACAAGCTTATTTTATTCTATTAAGAAGCCAACAATACTATGTTAAGTCAACTCAGCCAAAAACGATCCTACATTTATATAGCAAATTATTTCTCGAACACGTGCTTCGAGTTTCACCATAAGAGAAATACAACTGTTAATTCGAGTGCGAATCTATTCCACGAATTTTCTATTTTCGATTTACCGAGGTGCAACATTTCACCGCATTTTTACACGATACGTTGCATGGTCTCGCCATACAAAAAGGAGTCTCAATGGATGATTTCGCAACAGAAATCGCGGGTTCGCGAAAGTCTAATTTTTCGAAACTTTCAGATTGCGACTAGAGAGTATGAAATTACACTGGATCCAATTTTCGCGCAAATTGCCACCGAGATAAGCGTTCGAACCTCGGGAAGTTGACGCGGAGAGTGTAAACCACGGGTCTTGATGAAAAACTCGGTTCTAGTTTCGAGCGATCAAGGAGCACGCTAAATCTCGGATCGACATTTCGAAATCGTACGGTTCAGCTGCGTCATCCATACGACCAACGCCATGGTCCACGGGCCAAATTAGATCTGAAAGGCAGCCCCCGCGTCGGTCGAATTTTAAACAACCGCGTATCAATCACGCTGCATTTCTATGAAGCTTTCCGCGTGCAACTTTCGTTCCCCTTTTGTTACGCTGAAACAGCCACGACGGCACGTTTCCACGCACGTGTACGAGAAACTTGTCAAGGATAACAGCTACGAGGAATCACGACTGCCAGCGAATCATTCGCGAATCATTCGCGAGTGATAGAGGTGGAAACTCGAATTTCTGCGAGTAACTCGATTTTGTTCGGTTTACTCATCCGTTAACGAGGAAGCTAGACGAGTATATGTTTATTACAGCAACAGATTGCGTGCAGATTGCGTACAGATTGCTGCTTGTGCACAGTGGGTTGCAGAAATAGGAAATATTTTCTCTGCTCGTGGATTGTACGTGGATCTTGTATCAGACACTACCAGAGAAATAAAAAAGTGACATACACACGTATAGACTCTTTTATAACAGCTGTTACTGCTAATTTTACTATTCTTTCACTGCCAATTTAACTTAACCTAATTACTGCACTGCCAGTTTCATACGCGCAATAAAATTTAATTGTTTTCTCGCATAGTCGAATTATTATGCAAGTATGAGCTTCGTGCTGGAAGGTGTCTTGGAGTAGATAGTAAATTGGTAGAAATACGAAGGTATTTTTGCTGAATTTCGATAAATAACGGCTAAAGTTTCTCCGCAGGGTGAAATAATTTTCTTCCTAAAAATTTTTACGCATTTTTAACTGCGCTGTAATAATATCGCGAATATGTACAAACCGGATATAGTGTATTATCCTTGATGAAATCGAAGAGGTATTTAGTATTTTCTCGTTTTATTTGATTTCGCGTTTCTTACTTTACGAGTGTCATTGACTCGGGGATCTTTACATTTACAATTAGTCCTCTCATACTTTATGGCATTCCAGGTTTTATTACGCCTAATCGTGTAAATAATTTTAATTCAGCGCTTCCTTACGCGAGAAGTAATTTCTCGAAAGGTATCGTAACGCTTTTAACAGCATCGCGAATTCTTATTGGAACGTATAACGCGAAACTTGGAAATAAAACGCGTCATGCTTAACTAACTTCGCTATGCAGCAAAATTGGTAGACGTATCTGAACGATCGCCGACATAATAGCCCAGCTTTCTGTTTCCACTGTTTCAACTATCGCAAAAAAAAACTGCCATTTTCCCTTTCGATGCATTACAACTAATCATAGTAATGCTCCGATCCATTCACTCCCTACTCCTTTCCCTCGCAAAGAACCTCGGTCACCGCTTATGCAACAAGGACACCCAGAATCAAAATCGACTACTCCACTTCGCACCTCGACCAATTAACGCGTTCACTGTGCCATGCGAATAAATGGCAAATATCGTAATAGCTGTATCGATAATAATCAAAACCCACTTCATCGATATGCCAAGGACCGTGTAAAAATCGCCAAAAAATCTCTACTTCGATCGCAGTCGCTGACAAACGTCAAATATTATCAAAAATTGGCGATTGGAACCACTGGTATAGTACTAAACATCGTTAATCAATTCCTATCAAAATCGTCATCAACGAAAGTGTTACCCTACGCCTATGGCTACTAAGAAAACCCAAGAAAATCCAAGGAAAAATTGAGGAAAGCGAAACTAAAAATTTAAAAAGGAGAAAGAAGAGACGAAAATGTAAACGCGAGGAAAGAAACGGGAGAATACGTATATATTCAAGCATCTCGGGCCAGAGAATAATGGAGGGTACGCGCAACAAAGGGCCAAGAGGAACGAACGTACGAATTACGAGCCGGGTCAATTATCCGGCCTGCACGACCGTTAATCCAATTTACGAAATAGCCGGTCACGAGCGTACCACACGCGGCGCGTGCGACGAAAAGGAGTGTGGACTACGGTTAATCGTGGGTGGAAGGACCGCCCAGCGTTTCGTGGACCTGGACCAAGCTCCAGCCTAACGCAACGCGCACCCAACCAAGGGTGGCTGCACCAAGTTGCGGCAGTACAGAGTATTCGTACAGTCAGTCCTTTTGTACGCTTTGAAGACACGATTCAGATATAACGCGAAATTCAACTTTAATTTTCCTCCCTTTCGAGTTACGCCCTCATCTAGACTGCAATTTTTAATCAATTTCGAAAAATTTTTACTAAGAAAACGTAAATCTTCCTCGACTCAAATTAAATGTATATTATAGCTGTATATTTCACGAGTATCTACAATTATTTTCGTACAAAAATATTGAAAATTACAGGAGTTATAGTCGGTCTAATGCAGGATGGGCTTCGATAGGACATATACTCGGAGAACACGGTTGCTATGTAACACTTTGTTTGATTTCTACTTCCTTAAGGATCAACGCGAATAGGATTAACTGTGCTATACGAGGGTTGACTGTATTATCCTATACTGGAAGCGAATTAACCCTTTGTCTCACAGAAAAATAATAATTCCAAGACTTTGTGCCATAAAGTCAACTGTGAATGAAAAATCGTATACAAATTAAGACGTAGATTTTATTTCTACCATTCCACGTATCACTGAGTAATTTTAAATGTGATATATTAATTAACATCGATCTTTAAAATTTAATTAAACGGCGACTGAGAGTCGCCCCTCGAGTGCAAAGGGTCAACGTCGAGTTTCAGGTGCAACGCGAGAAAGAGTAGAAAAGGAAGGATCATTTCTTTCTTCCGCCATTGGAACCTTCCTCGATCAGGTGTTAATTTTACGCCAGCAATGCCGGTTGGAGATCAATGGCGATCGGATAAGCCCGATCGAGCCGATCTGGAATTCCACAGCCGGTTGCCCGGTTCCGTGATTTCGCCTCGCGGTTTCTTTATCTGCGCGTATATATTCGAGTAAGCCCGCGAGATTAGATAAGAGGTGGTGTAATGATATACGATAGCGAGAAAATTCGCGTCGATGTTGGATAAAGGTCGACTATCGGCGGGTGTTTCGTGTTTCAGGATAAACCGAGGGATACGTCACGGCCGACGAGGAATCCTTGGGAATGTCCGAACGGTAGTGTCGTTGTTATTGTGGCAGGTCTGAGCCTGTTCTCGAAGCTAGCGATGCGTAGAACGTTCGTCAATACGGAAGTGTGGTCGCTCGTTATCGAACTCGGCGTAAAGGTTCGACGTGTTTACGAACGAATAACAAATCTCGAAATTCCTTTGTTCGGGGATCTACATTGATTTTAGAAAGAATATTCGAGCTGCTTATTTGCGAAATTTATTAACACTAGAAATCTCAATGAGAAGGCTTCTCGAATCCATATGAAACGGAATAATATTCTAATTGAATATCATTCCGTTTGCAATTCGTAAGACGTATAACATATAATCGTTTAAATAATATAGAATTTCGTGCAAATTGTAATTTTGAAAGGAAAGGTACGCAAAGAGTAACATGGACTCGAGAAACTCCTGTATAATTATTAATGCCACGTATGTACTCTATTTATATGAACTAACAATTACACGAGTGTCTAAATTCAACGTAATTTTATATAACTTTTTCTTCGAATTTCTCGAAGTGATTAGAGACGTGGGAGTTTCCGTAAATCAAGTAAAAATTCATTCGAGGCATTAAAATTAAAAAAATAAAAATTAAAAAGTAGCCTGTGAATAGACAGTTGCACTGGTGATCCTATTGATCGCACAGTACCACGCTTAAGTAGATAAGCCAGTAATCTGACGTATTTCATCATATCACTGTACGAAACTAATTGTCTATCTATCTACCATTTATCGGAAACGACGCTACAGGTAAATTTCAATATCTCATTCATACCATAAAAAGAAAAAAAGAAAATAGAAATAAAACAGTCGTAATAGAATTAATGGCAAGTACTCACGTCTCTAGAGACCAAGTCGACCGGCGTACGTTGTCATGCTGCACTCCAAAAGTAATAACAAACTACACCAGCACAGAGAAAAGTAGCCGCGAAATTTTCTCTCACGCGTAAACGAAAATGCAAAATTTCCACGCGTTACCGTCGCGATAAAGCAGTTCTCACCGAGCAAAAATTTCAATTACCGGTACGTAGTAGAATGGACGACGTCACTGGTACTTGTCCGACGAATCGATACGAGAGATTAGACCTTTCAATGTCACGCGAACGTGATCGAACACGGGACCACAGTCGCGACACTACCTCACCGACAAAGGACGAACGATGACTGAGGATTTAATTATTTCGTATTTCAGGCATCCCCCACTCCGCGGCCCGCGGCTGCGCACTGGCCGCTCTCGTGGTTACTCTACGGTGCTACGTGCATTCACTCGACAATTTCTTCCACTCCGTGCAACGTGTACCGACCACGCGGTTTCCATTGCATTAATTAATCCTATTACCTTTATTGACGTCAATTTCTCAGGATTTGATAGGCAAGCCGGGTAAAAGGAGAATATAAAAAGCGTGTAAAGCCGAGCCTCGGATATCGCTTTTTAATTAACCCCGACTACATTATTTACCTTGCTCTAAGCGGACTTCATAAACGACTTCATATAAATTCTTGCTCGCGATATAAATTTCCCAGCCCCACGATAGGCAATTTCGTTCGAAATGTCCGTACAAGTCCAGTTAACGTGCACCGCGTTCCCTGACAGCTAATTTCCCTACTCGCACGAAGAACCAATCCGTTAACGATCCGGTACACTCCCATGGATCCCATAAAACCGTCTTACGCAACGCTCTCCTCCCTCGTGCTCCGATTGCACGTACGGAACGCTGAGTATCCCGCGAGCAATTAATCGCAGCGAGAGTCGAGGCAGAAACATCGGCGGGGCTTAAAATTCAATGAAACTAATACGATCGCAGCCGGTCCCGAGACAAATCGACGTGCAACGAGCGTGTGCACTTTCACCGGAGATCTATTCGGCGTAAATCTCGGAGCTCGTAAAATTCGTCCTCGCACAATACGCATATTCGCGCAAATACGGGAGTTTGGCGAAAATGCCGAGCGGCTCCGGCCGGTGAGAGGATTGCCGGCAGGTTTGTGGAATAGGCGGAAACAACGGGCGATAAATCGCGAGAGACGCGACGCGCGAACAAATTGGTGGGCGACGAAAAGAAGCGGAAGCGAGGGTGCAGAGGATAAACGGCGTCGGCGTCGTCGCGTCGGCGCTAAAACAAACGCTGCACGCGCCGACGGAGTGGCGGATGAAAAGTTTGGCGAGCGTCTGGTGCACGCGTCCGGCGTCGCGGCGGATTAACGGAAAGCAGACACGGCGAGGAAAGGATCGAGTCTGGTGGAAGGAGATCGTGCAGATCGGGCGCAGATCGCGGCCGCACGATCGACCACGGGACAATGTAATCGGGACGATAAACCGGATAACTCGTAATTAAAGTTTCCAGATCGATCCGCGTGCCCCGGCGAATGAATTAATTACGGCTAAATTGCGAGACCGAGTTATGTAACCGCGCCGTGGCGATTTTGTCGTAAAAGTAAAAGGAATCTTGTCCGCCGGTTTAATTTATCGGTCCATTTGTTGCCGGTTTGGTTTACTGGCTTTGCAGTCTGCGATTCTAGACGCGTTATCTGCTCGGAAATCGCTCCTTGCGCAGGGGGATGTTTAACCCTTTGCACTCCGAGCAATTTTTAATATGAACTACCGCCAACTCCGAGTCATTTTACCTTTCCTGTTAGCTTTCATAGTACAATGTTTACCAATTAAATAGCATTTCATTTTTATCGGTTCTTCTGCTAAAGGTATACTGGTATAATACTTATCAGTAAACATACGGTAATTCTGTGTTTCGGGAATTTTATCTAACAATATTTGATATAAATCCAGCGAAATTCTAGTGCAACAGCAGCGACAACAGAATGCAAAGGATTAAAGAACGTTAACACTAAACGTACCAAGCAGGGTGAAATGACCCCTTTCAAAATTTACTTTATAATCGTACATTTATTGTTATTTCTTTCGCTAATCTAACTTACTGCAAATTCTTATAATTGTTTAATTTCTCGCTTTCCTCGCTATCTGGAAATTTATGTTGCGAATTATTTCTTTTAATAAATTAAGAATTTTTTTTTTAAATCACCGTTTATTTCATAAGGGGTCGTTTGATCCATAAGGGGTAAGATTAGGTATGTGTTCTAGTTCTAGTGCCGCAACAGAGGCAACGGAGTTACAGGCTATCTTACAATGTCGCTATAACAATACAATGTCGGCGAGAACAGAGTACTAAGGATTAACCTTATGAACTCGAAGATTTCTCCGATATTTTTGCGACTAATTCGACAATTTTTATAGTCATCCAACGAAATTGAAGAAATTTTAAGGAATCGTAGGATTCTTTAACGCTGGACCTACCGATTGTAACGTGCGCCTAAATAGAGTACACATAAATGATTAGAAATTAATTAAATTATTTATGATATAAGATAAGGTACAGGAGATCGATTAAACTTGGATTTTAATTGGGAGGACAAATAAATCGCGTGAAAGGATGGAAGAAAATGGCGTAGACCGAGATTGACGTTCGCATGGAAAGCCGAAGCAATAAATTCCACGTGGCTCCTTCCCGGCGCCAGAACTAATTTGCGAGTAAAAAATACTTAGCGATCTGGAAAATGGAGCGTGGCAGTGTTCGATTTATTAAACGCGTGTCAGAATTGATCGCAAGATCGGCACGGTAATTGCATGCGATTCGATCAAAGAAACTAAACCCGATGGTCAGATTTCTCTAACGTCACATTTCTCTTCCTAGCTGTACAACTTTTACTCGGGCAACATTCTATATTAACAACCATTTACGATATAGCCCTGGTACATCCACGTAAACCTGATTCCACGGATTACGACTTCGTACAATTTTCATTCGATTACACCGTTACCTAATACTCGTAGCTTCGTTGTTATGCACGAAACCGGAGGCCAAACGAGCGTAACCGCGGTGTGCTCCAGCGTTCAGTTTCGACAGCGGGAAATTCTGCCGGCTAATGTAATCTCGTTAATCGTAATCTCTGGAACCAATCGAATCGCAATTCGAACGACGAGAACGCGTTCCTTCGATTTCGCCTGGCCCGATAAATCGCAATTAAAGGCCGCGGATTAACCATGTAACCGAGGCAACGGATTCGTGCGACCGTGGATCTGGGTCGGCGGAATTCTCTTTACCCACGAACGTGCACGCACGCGCGACGTTACGCCACGTGCACGATATAAACGCGATTATGCACGATGGCTATTGTCGATCTTACTTTTGGGTCGGAGGAACCGGAAACCGAGGCCGTTGAACGACGTCGGAATTTTAATCAGTCGAAAATTCTCGGCCGCCATCCTTGCGAAATTCAACTCGTTTAATTCGGGTCGTTTTCTAGCTGCATCGCGTCCAGTGTTTCTCAATATCCCGAATATTCCTGTCTCCTGAACGGGAAACTCTCGTTATTTTTTAAAGCAAAAGAAATTAGAGGTTGGTGTTAGAGAATTTAAATTATTCATTACTGGTAATTTCTCGAGATAAGATCGATCGGGTAGTCAATTTTGTCCCTGGGAGTGCATGACTTCCGCTCTTAAACGGTGAACGCGGAAAATCCAGAAATCCGGTTTGATTACGCTTAAATTGTGGAAATTAAGGTGTAATGATGCCCCGATAAAGTGTATGGAATCATGAAATTATACGTAACGGCGAATGTTATACATGAGGAAATTAGCAAATATATTGGCTAATAAAAATTACAGCATCGATACATTTTATCATTATTTCAGCACAAAATACACATTAAACTGATGAAAATTCCTTACAGGGGTCAAGACCACCATGTATGTAAATACCAAGAATACCAATGATCGCGGAAAAATTCGGAGAAAATTGAGAAATTCGCAAGTACCCTCGTAATAATAGCAAAGACGAGAAGCAAAAAGGGAAGGAAGAAAAAGGGAGAAAGAGAAGAGGAGTACCAATTACCTTAACTAAAAGCTCCTCCGCCACGGTTCACGCGTGACCCACAGTGCACAAAGCGTCGCGTACTCGCGGCGCATTCGCGGAACAGCAAATTCCGCGGCGGCACGGCGAGCGTTGGAACAATATTTCCTTTGTAATAATTAGACACGACAAGCCCCGGAGGAAGCGAGACGCGTTTCATCCAGCTCGCGAGCGAGAGTGAGAAACGCGCGACATGACGCGAGCGGAAGAGAGACGGCCTAGAAGAGAAATTGCGTACAATGTGTAGCGAAACAAGTGCCGTTAGTCGCTCCTTGTCAGAAACGGTTTCGCGTTCAGCCCGATTCTACGTCAGCCTGATTTAATAACCCGACATTAAATTCCGATAATTAGTCCCGATCCAAGCCAGACAACGTCTCGCGCGGCGTCGATGCCGCGGTTGGTCCGACGCGCTATTTTCATTGCCGTCGTGATCAACGCGCTGGATCGGTATGCGCTTTGGCTGCCTGTTCGCAACACGCGACGCTCGTTATGCGAAATCCGTGTACGCCGACGTCCGCGACAACAATTAACGATGAGAAACAAGCCGCGCGACACGAGCTAGGAACAGAGCCGGATAGACCAGGGGGAAAATAGAGGAGCGACCGAGAGAAATGACGTGAAAACGTTACCTGTCGACATCATTGTGCACTTCTATACCAGCATTGTGCGCTTAATGAATACGCGCTCCGAGGGTACCGTTTGATTTTTAAATACCCCGTTTAGCAATTTAAAGCCGAGTCTGCGGAGTGATACGAGAGTATAACGGGAAGCCTTTCACGAGATTATCAAAATCCAGACTTCCGGGTGTGCGTCGAGCACTTTTGGAAGAAATGTCCAGACCAGGTCTCCGCAGCTATGCATACGTCGACAGCCTAATGGATACACCAGCACTGAGGAACATTCGGATGTTTACCTTGACAGGAGAAACGAATTGCATCTGCTAACTTCGATTTTTATAACTGCTATCGAGTTTTTGATAAATCTCTTGTTTTTCTGAGTAATTTTGCAGTGTGGATTTTGGAGCAGTCTTTGATAAATTTTGACTTCGGAATCGATTGATTTTTAAATACCCAGTTTAACAATTTAAAGCCGAGTCTGCGGAGTGATACGAGAGTATAACGGGAAGCCTTTCACGAGATTATCAAAATCCAGACTTCCGGGTGTGCGTCGAGCACTTTTGGAAGAAATGTCCAGACCAGGTCTCCGCAGCTATGCATACGTCGA